GGGGGGGGGTGAGCAAAAATTTTAGACCAAAAAGCCTTGCCACATTTTCTAGATAATCTCTTTCTTTGTGAAACTTTTAAGTTAGAAATTTTAAAAAATTAAAAAAAAATAGAGTTCTATTATTAATTAAGAAAATCCATATATATATATATATCCAAGGTAAGAATGTAGATAACTCAGATGTGTTTCATTCATGGTTGATTCTATGTCTTAGCTGGTTCTAGAATGAGAAATCCTTTCTTATGCATTCAGCCACATTGTTGGTGATTCTGGAACCAACAATCCATGTAGGATCGGTAATGGGGTGGGGATCATATTTTCCATCCCCGACCCCGATTTTGAAATTAACCCCCATTCTCATCCTCGATCCCCACTAGGAATAAAATTTGTCTTCCATCCCTGATCCCCGATGGGGATGAATTCCCTGTAGGGACTCGAATCCTCAAAATGTTTTTAGATATAGTATTTTTTTGAAAAATAAATTTATTTAAATTATTGGTGATTCTGGAACCAACAATCCACGTAGGATGGGGACCTAAATCCCATCCCCAACCCCACCAGATCAGAGAAATCGGATCCCCATCGAGGATTGGAAAATTGTCATCCCTAAATCCACGGTTCTAGAACTGGCAAAACCCTTTTTTTTTTTTTTTTCTGAGTACAACATATCATGTTTTCACCCAGAAAGCATGGTTCATTGATGCATAACATGGAAGTCATATGATGTATCTTAGACACACAATGTTGTTTTCATTTTTTTTAGCTTAATAGCAATCAAAATATATGATCAAAAGTTGGTAGAGAGAGTATATGCACAACTAAAATGTTCTCTTTTATATTGTCTGGTCCAAAAAATTTACTCTACGTCATTTTTCTGAAAAACTTAGTACATTTTTTGAAAGCATGGTTCATTCATGCAAGATAACAAAGGTCCAATCATGATTCTTTTGCTTAATAGCGATCATATATATATCAAAAGTAGTGAAAGTATGCATGTGTAAATGAAACAGCTTCTTTTATATTAATTTTCTGGTCGTATATTTTCTTGAACCTACCACCCTTTTTTAGAACCATGAACCGAACACCACCTCAGACTTTAGAAACCAATAACATATGTCCAATCCAGATGTCTGAACTAGCCACAGAATTAATCTTCCATGATGAAAAAATAAAGCCATGTAGAGAAGCTTACTGGCAAGACATGACACCTCTTCTTGCACTCTCTTTTTCTTTTTTAATATATATTTTTTTATTTATCATCAAAAAACGCCATGTAGAGAAGCTCCCTATTATACTCAATTAGGACAATCTTTTCCATATATAAAATACATTCTAATATATATCTAACTAATAACGTATTAATCATTTCAACCATAAAAGAAACTAATAATGTATAAAGTTCTTTAAGATGATTATTTAGAAAGTATTAGAGATTTTGGTTATAACCCACTGAACCAAGCTTGTTTCTAAGAGTTTTTATTATATTATAGAAGTTAATTTATAAAATATTAATTGTATCACTCCAACTCATTGCATGCATGTTTGTGCTGCTACTAGTATCGATCATTCCACTTCTGATCCAACTCTTCCTGAGTTTGAATCTGATCAAGCTCTTCTCTCCTATGAGTTTGAATCTTTTTCTTATCTTAATCTCCTTATCTTTTTTATCTCATTATTTTCTTATTGTATTCTATCTAAATCTCTCAAAGAGTTCTATTGTAATCATGATTGGTCGGCCTGCCATGGTTGCCCATTCATCTTGAGCTTATTCTATGGTGCTTTATATTCCTTAACTTTGGTATCTGAGCCAGGTTGACAATATGTTCTGTCAAGTTAAACTGTTTTTGTTATGAATGAGAAATTAAACCATTCTATGCCATTCAGATGCTGCATTCAGAATCAGTTGCTATATCATGTTATTTATTTTATAATTTCTTTTCTAATAAATACCCTTTCATGCTTTCCATCTCATGTTTGACCAAAACACGTAGCCCCATCACTATTGACAAGACAAACAGGTAGGACCTAGTCATATAAGACTGAATAATTAGTGGTTCATAAATTTCAATATTCAGATATATATAGGAGGTTTTCAGTTACATTGAAATTCCCAAAATAAAAGAGAAAGATCGATCCTTTTCCTAGTAAGGATACCATAGAAAAGATATATATTTGAATCTGCTAACAAGCAGAAGGAGCAATTCTAGTGAAGATCTAAAGTCGAAAATGATTCACCATGTAAATATATTTCTCCTTGGATTACCTTATAACAGAATGTGGTCGAAATTTCCTTCACCTCAAATGCCAAAGTGGCTTACTACAAGAAGGAAGAGACTCAAAACACCATTTATTGCTACTAGAGCCACCATGCTCGGCGTCCTTATGAACCAGAGTAGGCTCCTTAGGCTGGAAATTTGGGTTCTCTTTGCTGATAAATGATGTAATGGCAGCAGCAACAGCAGCCCTAAACTTTGGATCTGAAGCAATAGCACTGACATTTTCAGTTAATGACTTGTCTTCTTCCATCTTCCACTGCTTCTCATCCATGCCTCGATGACTGCTAAAAAGTTGGTGGCTTGGGAATTCGCCAACTTTATTAACAGATCTACCAGCAGAGTTATTGTATAAAGAGTTGCTAGGCATCCAAGGGTAAGTCAGTTTTGTTTGTGAATGAGATGAACTAGGAATGGGAAATTGTTCTTGTGGGTTGTTGGTCAGGTCAAGAACAATTCCTTTAGAGTGGTTACTGGAGCCTCTGATGTTGTTGATGGCTGATGATGAGTAGGGTAAAGGGCTTATTAAATGTGGGTTTTGGTATGGGATGGAAATTCTTGCATCATTGATGATTCCACCTGGAATTGCAGCACCTGAAGTTCCAGATGGTAACAGGAAATTGGCTGCTCCAGATGCTGAAGATGCCACTGTGGTTGCACCCAAAGGCAATGGATGGTTGTGAGTCCCTTCATAGGTTGTAATCAGTATGGACATGTCTTCTAGGCATCTCTGGACCTGATTAAAACAGTATTTACATGGAACAGAAGAGTTCAATACATGGGTTTGAATAGAATTGCCTAAACCATTTTAATACAAAATATGGAAAAAAAAAGAGACAGATGATGATAATGATAACTAAAATTGTTGATGGGATCGATCACAAGGTACCTGTTTCTTCACTGGGCATCCTGGAGCTACCATGCAACGGTAATAGGCCCTTGGACAAGGATTTCTTTTTGCAGTTTTCTGACCATACTTTCTCCATTGGCAACCATCATAAATCTACACGAAATTTAAAATTTTATCTCCTCAGCCTTTGGTATAAGTTTAGGATCTGTGCTTTTTCAAACAATTTCTTCATAAAATTCTAGCTAACTAGGTTTGGATTCTCGGTGAGAAGATCCTTTGTTCAGAAAAAAAAAGAAAAAAACCTAGGGCAGAAGGGTCTGTGGATCCTTCTCTCCATAGCTCCCCTTTTAATTCTAAAAGATCAAGAGAAAAGAAAAAAAAACAAGAACTTACAGTTGGTGCTTGACATCTTGCTCTAACTGTAACCTTTGCTTTTCTGGTAGATGGTTCAGGAGGATGGCTTGTAATTCCAGACAATTCGATCTTTTGAAGCTTGTTTTGTTCTGGTTTCAAACTTGTCATCATCTTTTCTTTGGGCTCATCCTTTTCACGTTGGTGCAAATGAGATGGCACGCTCAAGGACAATCCTAACTCCCCATCTTTTTCATAGTTGTTGGCTTCAGATGGTAATGAAAGAGTTTGATTTTTATCGACTAGGATTTCAGGAACTTGTTTCGGTCGAATTGTGTCGGCATCTCCTCCTTGGACGGAGAGGAAGATCTGAGGATCCTGGATCAAATTAAGAAACCTTTATCGTGAAACAATACTATGACTTAATAACACTGGAGTTACCTTTTTGGTTTCATTTTCTTGGATGATTGCAAGTTTCGTCTGAAGATCATGGTAATCTTTCATGGTTTGTTCAACCACCTTCCTCAACAATTTGTTTTCCTCTTTCATCCTGTTCATCTCTATCTGTAGCACAGAGTGCTAATTCAAAATGATAGTTAGTCGTTGCAAATGAGAACAAGTCGTCAAGGTACCTAATTAGCACAAACAGTAGGCTTATAGACATACATCTGATTCATTTCACAGAGAGAGAGAGAGAGAGAGAGAGAGAGAGAGAGAGAGAGTGAGTGATATATATTATTGTTCATGTCTTCTGTGTACCTCTTCTGTCAAATTTTCCTTCAAGGAATTGACTACGGATTCGTCTTGTTGCTCTTCTTTTCCTTCTCTCGCTTCTTCCCTTTCATATTTTGGTTGCTTTTCACTTTCTTGACCATCTAGTTGGACTTTTTCTTCCTCTTCTTTTCTTTCTCGGCCTCCTAACTTCAGAGAAAGATCAATCTGCATCATCCTTTCTTCCTTCGCCATTGAAGATAAGTTGCAGTCTCTCTCTCTCTCTCTCTGTCGGAACAAAGTCGATTTCTCATTTCTCCTCTCTTGGACAGATATTTTAAAGAGTTTCTTCTGGGCTCTGGCCACCACTAGTCATACTGCAACTGAACCGATTGACTGAACCAACCCATTTACGGCTTGACAGCGGTGAGATATTAATTCAATTTTCCTTTTAATTTCCTCTTTTTGTTCGTGTGCTTAGGGTTGCTCCGATTTTCTTTGTTTTGATTGACGTGGACTTGTGTTGTTCCATCTTTGTCTGTCTTGTCTTCTGGGCCCTTACCACCTTTGATGGGGTCTTTTCTTAATTTGATAATATAGGTGGGGGTCTTCATAGCCCATCATTAGTTCTCTGTCTCTATACAAGGTCCCCACCGTCTCATGTGACGGTTATTAGCTAAATATATAGCTCGTACAGGATCAGGTTTGACTGTGGTTTAGCTTCTTACGTGGTTCAACTTCAGGTCTTCAACATGCTTTTTCAAGCCCAAACCTTCTATGGGCCACAAAAAAACGGTACTGGACTGGCCCAAACCAGAACTAGGCATTAGGCCTACTGTACAGGTTAGCCGATTTTATTTGTTTATATAAGAAGAGAAAATCACTCTAGTGTAAGTAAAAAAAATGGAAAAATAAAAATGTTTAGCCCCAAATTTAGATGGACTAATTGGACCTTGTTTGGCTTATATAGCCCCAAATCTATCAAGCTTATAATTGGGCCTGGGCCTGGGCCTGGATGGATCAACTTTAAACGATTCCTCAAAGCATAACCAAAGAGATTTTGTAGTAGCATAAAACTGTCGATTGAACATGTGGCCGATCCACAGTGGGTATGCTATCAGATAGGCAGTTTAGATCATCCACAAGATCCCTCCATGTAGCAGAAATAGGTGGGTTTGTTTTTGTTGTAGCAGTTGCTATGGTTGCAATGCAAACGTAAATATGTACATTACATATTTACCCATTTTTTGGTTTATGAATGTAAATACGGTTCACATTTTAAACCGTTTTTGCATTCATCTTGTGTGTTTGAAATCGGTGCAAAGTGTGGGCTCATCATTAAATGCTCTGACTATCTTATGCTCCAATGCCTTAACATTGGTCAAAAAGTTAATTATCAAAAGAACACAAAATTGTATCCAAAAAATAGGTACAATAATGCTCTCTTTTCAAAGTACAAGTGTCAAAAAATACATTTTTGCTCTAATAATCATTACTTTTTCGCGTATCAAACAAACGCTCGCAAACACAAACCGGCGTTTGTATCGCAAACAAACGAAGCCTATAGTAAAAGGAATCTTATCTTTGAAGAACTTATTACCCTAATCTACTAGTTAGATGGAAGATGTGAGTGATCATGATCATTTCTAATGGGGACCGATAAGTTGGTTGCTCATTTTCTTCACCACTTTACATTGACCTTATAGCCTACCATTTATTAGAGATTAGCCCCAAGAGATAATAGAGATTGAAAGATCATTATTATTAGTTTTCTATTTTAATTCTTTGGAAGGGATTGTTCTATTTTAATTTAGAAAGAACCCAAAAGAAAGGGCTTATTTGAAAGCCATATTAGGGGCTTTTGAGGAAAGGCGGTATTAGAGCCCTCAAAGGGCCCCAATTATGCTCCCATTCTTATATCTCCTTAAATGACCTGTCTAGACAAGCCCATGTTTTTATTGTTACTTTTCCTTATATGCAAGCATTCACAGTGGAGCCAACCGAAAAAAAAATAGGGGTAATAGCATATAAGGGCAACTTTTGGGGTTTAATATCAATAAAAGTAATATTTTTAAAAAAATTTCAAAAATAGGTTAACTTTTTAAAAATAATATCAATAAAGGGAAAAAACACCGTTCATCATCTTCTTCTTGCCATTTATTCACCAGCACAGCCGTCCGCCGCCACCTGCCACTGCCGTCCATTGCTGCCTGCCGCCGCCTCCGCCTCCGGCAACGTTGTCGGAGGCAGGCAATGGCGGACGGCAGCGCTGGTGAACAAATGGCAAGAAGAAGATAATGAACAATATTTTTGCCCTTTATTGATATTATTTTTAAAAAGTTAACCTATTTTTATTTTTTTTAAATATTACTTTTATTGATATTAAACCTCAAAAGTTGCCTTTATATGCTATTATCCCCAAAAAATATTAGGTCTAGTTTAAAGGTTGTAGGGATTTCTCCTTACGAGGCAACTACGGTTTTCTTTATATGTATATTTGTATTATTTTAACTGTGAAAAGTGGTAGAATTGTGTGTAACATTATAGGTTGGGAGATTAGGGCATTATTTGTTATTCTTATTTATTTAGAGAAGAACTTTTAAGCCCTTGTAGTGTTTTCTTTTTTACATGTAAAATGAAAGTTTTTCTTGCTTGTCATGTGATGGAGATGCTAATTCCTTTTGAGATTAAGGAAACTCATGAACCTCTGTGTCACTTTCATCAGTATTTCATGAATACCTGACCATTTGGTGGCTATAATAAGATGAATATGATACAATGATCCATGTTGGATTACTCATGTATAATGAGATTAAGGAGGCGTTAGTTTTTTTTGGATTTTGAGAGGAGAAAGTTGGTCAATGGGATCCAAGAAACCCATGTTCTTTTTTTAGATTTATGTGGGGACCATGAAAAATTTAATTTCCTACATATCACTTACCCATCTCCCAAGTGGGTAAATAAAATTGCCAATACTTGGATGGGACAAAAATTTCCCTTTTAATAATGGATTTTTATGGTTAAAACGATCATTGTTTTATTTACCTGGGAAATAAAAGAACATGGGTAAATGGACTTACATGGGTATGTGTATTTACCCGGGTAAGTAGCTTACTGAAAAGCAAATAGGGCCTAAGGGGATCTCAATCATAAGAATAAATAAGATTTTGCATTGAAGAAATTTTAGGAAAAGTGTTAGACAATTTTGTATGCCCTTAGCTTCAATCAAGAATGATGTACTTTATGAATTTATTGTAAATGAATAAAAGTACATATTTGATTCATGTTCCCTTGGTATGTTTCTGTGTAATACCCT